TTGGGGGACCTTGGATCTGGCCATCCTTGTTCAAGAACAACCAGATATGACGGACGTAAGAAAAAATTCGGGGCGTGTCTAGACCGCCTGTGGGAGCTGCGTTAACCGATTACCACGCCCAGAAAGCCAGGGTCTCCCCACCTCGCTGTTTGATCCGCGTGAGATGGCAAATGGGTCCCCTAAAAACCACCTCTCTACAGCTCAGCAAAAAAGGCAGGGCGGACGGTTTTAGTTAGGGAAGAAAAGTTGGTTCTTTCGTGAGGAGGCAGGGTGAAGGGGTCTAGAACATCTCATCGTCTTTTTTAGAGTTGCGGCCTGACAAGTCACAGAATCACATAGTGTAAGGCCTCAAAACGAAGTAAACCTTTTGCAATTATCTGCCTGTCAAATAAATTCCTCTGCCCAACACCCGGCTCTTGAATCCGGGAACACTCTTCAAAAGAAACGGTACAGGTATCATTGACCGTTACCGTTACAGTCAAAAACGCCAACCGTTCCTGCAAAGAAAGCAAGGAATTGTCCAGTGTAGGGGAGGAAATCCGCCACGGGGAATAAAAACACCACCAGAATCCTGTCAAACAAGCTTACCCGGCGACCGACGATCTCGGGGGGCCATGGAATTATTTTTCCCTGGCCACTACAAGTTCCCTACAGGCCACCGTCACCTCTTAGTTCCTATCGCGTATAAGAAAAAGACTGGACGGCAGTTCAATCGCGTCGAGATCAGATCTTACTGCTAGGTGTCCGGTCCACTCCACCCACACACCACCACACTCACCGCACTGCCCTGCCCGCATCTCGGGTCAGCCCCTCGACGTCAGCCTGCATCCCCTTTCCCGGGGACCGGTCTCGTCTTTTGGTTTTGACAGCAGGGATGCTCTTCTCGAAGGCTTCTGCTCAAGTGCCTACGGATGCACTAATTGATAGGAGGTGCTAACTTTAGCATCTGTGATCCTCCCCGCTAGGCTAGGAGGTATGATGACAAAAGTCAGAAGAAGGCGGGTTCACGTGGAGGAGTTTAATTGTCATAGGTGGACCAATTCGTCAGTCCAAATCGTGATTCTCTAAAGCCGTTTCGTTCCGCGTTCTGCTTTTTGGAAATGCCCATCTGATGTTACATGTACAATGCTATGAAAAGCCCACTCAATTCCCATCCTTCCGCCCCTTGCTGTCTAAGAGAGGTATCGTTTGCATCTACGCATTGGTCGAAATCTTGGGGTTCAGTCCTCCAACGAGCCATGCGGCGGCGAACAGGGAAATAAAGCTGACGAAGATGACAAGGGGCTTCCGCAGGGCGGAAGACACCGAGTACTCGTAGGAGACAATCACCTCCCGATCCCGGAACTCGTCAACAAGGTTGTTGGCCTTGATGGTGACCGAGGTGCGTCCAACGGTGTCGAGGTACGTCTTGTGGACACTGATGACAGAGTCGACAATGGAGGACTCGGGGATGCTAGTGTAGAACTTCACGTTCCTGTGACGTCTTTGTTAGAACCCGAATAGTAAAACAGACTTCTCTCAAATTTCACTTACGTTGCTCCCTCTGGCAGGAGAATCTGCAGGTTGACCTTTGCGTACTCGATTCCCTCGGGCTGCTTAGGACCCTCGAGGAAGGGGACGTTGACAACGTACTTGCCAGCCTCGACGGTGCGGACAAAGTTCTTGGCGTCCGAGTTCCAGCCGATGGTGAAGGGGTACTTCCAGCCGCCAAAGATGGGGTAGCGAGGCTTGATCTCCAGGAGCGCCTCGCGCTTGTTGCTGCGGAATCTTGAGGTAGAGACGTTGCCAATAGCATCGACAAAGTACGGGTCCGCACTTCCCACCTTGAGGGGGAACTTCATCTCCTTGAGAGCGTAGGTGTTGGGGTTGTAGTACGCCGCCTGCGCCCACTTGACGCGGTTGAAGAGCTTCGACAGGTTGGCGCCGCGGTGGTAGAGCTCGTATCTCTCCTCAAAAGCCACATTTCCTCCCCAGTGGCTGACCTCGACATCGCGATCGAGCTGGGCGACGTGGGTGACGGGCTTGGTGAACTCGAAGCGCACCTGGGCGGGGGAGACGGCACCGGCGGGCTTCTCATCAAAGGGACCGTAGGTGAGCTTAGCACCTTGCTTCTGGGGGAACTCCTTGATGTCGCCGCTGCCAGGCAGCTTGGTGTAGTCGGGGATGTTGGACGAGTGGGACTTGAGCTCGGTCTTCTGCTTCGAAGTGACGTAGGCCGAGGGCGCGTACACGGAGAAGTCGTAGGTGAGGAATTGTTGCTCCTCCTGGGCGATCGAGGCCGGCAGGGGCTTGTAGGCCTGGAGAAGGTAGTAGGAGATGCTCAGCGTCTGCTGGCCGCCGGCCTTCAAGGGCGTAGGGAGCTGGATCTTGTAGTACTGAGTCTCGCTGTTGCACCTGTTAGTTCACCCATGTGCACTATTGGGTGTGCGATGTGCCCAAGAGCCAAAACGTACCTCAGGGGGTCATACTCGACCGCATCAACGGTGAATGGGCCAGCTTCGGGGTTCTTCCTATCCTTGGCCTCGAAGCCTCCAATGCGCGACATCTGCTCGGGGGTGAAGGGCAGGTAGTATGCATCTTGGGGCTGCTTATCAATGTTCTCAATCAGAACATTGATTGACTCCTTGACGTAGTTCTTCTCGAGGGAGACAATGTGGACAAGATTGGCGTTCTTGAAAACCTGGGGCGGCTTGAAGTTGGCGGGCAGGTTGACCTTTGACACCTTGTCAGCTGCAGTCGTCGAGTCGGAGCTTGCGACAATCGGGGAGAGCAGGCTCAGAAGCCCGGCGGCAATGGCGAAGGCTCTCATGATGTGGGTTGGTGGAGGGAATTGCTCATCGACAGAGCTCTCCCGGCAATTGAGAATCAAGAATGGAGAAAAGCGGTTGTTGAGACGCAATTGGGGGCTTTCACTCCATTGCCCGAATTGATGATCTGGCTCCTGAGACAGCTACCCCCAGCCAAAAAGCTTACGGATACGTTGCTTGACGGCGCGCACGGGCCACGAATAGCTCCACTTCACTGGAGAGTGGCCGGGTCGGGGCTGGGTTAGTCCGAGACGGGCACGCGGCACTGGCGCGGCCTCGGTGGAGGTCAAGCCACACTTTACCCATGGCAGGTGCCACTGCGGGACAGCTTCAGCCACGCGCTTCGTCCACGTTTTATCTCCTCGCTTAGGTACTTGGATACTTCATCACACGGGGCTCCATATCTGTAAAATCGCCAATGATGACTGGCTCCTGGCATCTGGTGGGGTGGACAGCTACCGATTCTCTTTTCCTTAGCTGCCGTTTGTCCCTCAACAAGACGTCACGCACCGCAACCTCCGGGCTTTGGGAACGATTGAGAACGGCGCTTCCGGTGCTTCCAGTCCGTTTCTCCCGGGATGCTGACTCTCCTGGCTTGAATTCAGGTGCTCGTAAGATGTGGTATGTGGGAACACACTCTTCCAGCATCTCCTTCACGTGAGATATGCCATCGGAGATAGGTTGGTAGACAGCTATGGTCAGTTCAGGTCAACCCTAGGGGTCCACCGCTAGCTGCCATCTACCTTGACCATCCCAGCTATGGCAAGACCGCTGCAAATCTCGTGGTAACCTTTGGACGAGCGAGACGCGGGCTGGCGGCTCTGGTCCGCGACCAGTGGGACAACAGAGAAAAAGGTACCAAGAAAACTAGTGTGCAGTTTTTGGAGTTTGAGCTGCCCTGGTACCTAAGGCTCGTACGGATATACCAGTAAGGAGATAGGTAGACAGACATTGGATGACCCATCGGAGATGTGCCTCAGCGGCTTCGGGGGACTCGACTCGTCGAAAGGAAGGGGGCCACAAAGTAAGGTAACCGTAGTGCAGCAGCGTGCAGTGGTGCTGAGTGAGTGATCTCCAGTCCTGACAAGGTCCAGTCCGCCCGAGTTTGACCTCCTACCTCACCTCCTTCCCTCTCGGTCAGATGATCCACGCCCATTCACCTTTTCCCTCAACGTCACTTCCCTCACCCGACGCACTTCACCTCTGGCGAATTGACCGCCTACCACCACCCACCTAGCAACGAACACAACACCAAGCAGACTTATCGTGTGCTTTTGGCCTACATCCCTACGCAGCTTCCGACAGCTTTTATTTTGCTGCACCCATCATCACCTATAGCTCAATCGCTACCCCTCATCAACTTTTACCCCGCCATCCGTCAGAGCTTCGGTCAAAATGGTTGGTCTCGGTCCCAAGGTTCCGCCCAGTAGGAAGGGTAAGTTTTGCAGCTGCGATTCCCCCTTCATTTTACTCCTTCTCCCTACCTTTGGACTCCTGGAAATACCCAAGGGCGACACGATGGCCTTATATGCAAAAATGACATGGTGTGCCGCCTCACGTTGAGACTGAGACAGCTCTCGAGATGATATGGTCTTCAAGCTACTGCGCACTGTACGCCATTCCGCTGGTGTCGTCCCACCCTCCAAGTCATCCTCAACGCCTCACCCTCAAAACTTTCGTCCCGCTCGCACCATCACAATCACCACCATCCAATCCTGCCTCCCACCGACGGCTGGAACGGCCAATTGCCATTCGGAGATGACGCGCCACAAGGCTGGACCGCCATGCAGCACTTCCCGGTGGCCGGAGCTTCCCCAAGCCAGAGGGGTACCTTGCTTGTCAAGCAAAAGCAACTCTCTTGGGAAAAGCTCAAGCCATCCAGCGTTGAGGTGGAAGACCTTGTCTCACTTTGCCAGACATTCCCCCACCTTGATCCCCCAGCTTTCTTTCTCCGATGACTGCAACTGTCTAGTTATAAAGAAGCTGGCAAGCGCTGCTTGTCTCCCCTCCAGACCCTTGTGTTGACCGCTACATCAATTGCTTGTTGTTTTTTGTCCTTTGTCTCGAGAGCTTCGATTCTGGATCTTGTTTTCCTGAACACAATCATTTTGTGATACCCGTCCACCAAACGTTGTCACGCTCAAGTGTGGCAAGACACCAAAATCTTACAGCCAGCTTCACACAACCGTCACGATGGTGGACAGAGCGATTGCTCCCGCTACAAGGGAGAGATCCTACCACCACACCGATATCTTTGTGCCATCACGTCAAAGCAAGAACACACATCTACAGATTCAACACGATTCATGTCCGCTAACTATGTGTGAAAATCTAGGTTCCATGGCCGATGTGCCTAAGGATCTTCTGGCTGAGGTCAAGAAGCTCGAGGAGCAATTCACCGTTCCAACTGAGAAGCTCAAGCAGATCAGCGCGCACTTCATCACAGAACTGGACAAGGGTAAGTTGACACCTGTGGAAAATCGAAGTTTTTCATGGAACTGACTTGAAGCATAGGTCTGAGTGTCGAGGGCGGTAGTATCGTATGCTGAGACCTGAATATTTAGTGGCATTTGGAGCACCTTTCTAACTATGTCTACAGCCCATGAACCCGACCTGGGTTATGTCCTTCCCTGATGGCTACGAGACCGGCACTTACCTTGCCCTCGACATGGGCGGAACCAACCTCCGTGTCTGTGAGATCACCTTGACGGATCAGAAGTCTGAGTTCGACATCATTCAGTCAAAGTACCGCATGCCCGAGGAGCTCAAGACCGGCCAGTCAGAGGAGCTGTGGGAGTACATTGCCGACTGCCTAGCTCAGTTCATCCAGACTCACCACCCCGATCACCCTCAATCTCAGAAGATTCCTCTGGGTTTCACCTTCTCCTACCCTGCCACCCAGAACTACATCGATGAGGGCATCCTCCAGCGCTGGACCAAGGGTTTCGATATTGCCGGAGTTGAGGGTCACAACGTTGTCCCTTTCCTTGAGGCTGCTCTGGCGGCCAAGGTATAATAAGATTACTTGAGCACAGATGAAGCACCAGTAACTAACTCCCGCTTAGAACGTCCCTATCAAGCTGTCTGCTCTGATCAACGATACCACTGGCACCCTGATTGCCTCTGCCTACACCGACACTAAGATGAAGATTGGCTGTATCTTTGGCACTGGCTGCAACGCTGCTTACATGGAGGACTGCGGCTCCATCCCCAAGCTTGCTCACATGAACTTGCCTCCCAACACCCCCATGGCCATCAACTGCGAGTGGGGTGCTTTCGACAACGAGCACAAGGTCTTGCCTCGTACCCCCTACGACATCATCATCGACAAGGACTCTCCTCGTCCCGGCCAGCAGGCCTTTGAGAAGATGATTGCCGGTCTCTACTTGGGCGAGATCTTCCGCCTGGTCCTTGTTGACCTCCACGACAACAAGTCTGTGCACATCTTCGAGAACCAGGACATTGCCAAGCTCCGTAAGGCCTACACCTTGGATTCCTCGTTCCTGTCCGCCATTGAGGAGTAAGTTTTCTTCATCTTGAAGCTGCCCCAGATTAGTATGCTAACCCGATACAGCGACCCCTTCGAGAACCTTCAGGAGACTAGCGACCTCTTCCTCTCCAAGCTGAACCTCAAGGCCACCAGACCCGAGTTGGAGCTGGTCCGCCGCCTTGCTGAGCTCATTGGCACCCGTGCCGCCCGCCTCTCGGCTTGCGGTGTTGCTGCCATCTGCATGAAGAAGGGCTACGACAACTGCCACGTCGGTGCTGACGGTTCGGTCTTTAACAAGTACCCCCACTTCAAGGCCCGTGGCGCCCAGGCTCTGCGCGAGATTCTCGACTGGCCTGCTAAGACCAACCCCAAGGAGGAGGATCCTGTTGAGATTCTCGCAGCAGAGGACGGCAGTGGTGTTGGCGCCGCCCTGATTGCCGCCTTGACCCTTAAGAGAGTCCAGAACGGCAACATGGCTGGCATTCTCCACCCCGAGAACTTCACATAGTCGTCCCAAGACACGAGGACGGGTTGAAGAGGCAATGAGATTAAACAAAAAGCGAGGTCTTGTTAGATTGGGGGTTCTTTTTGATAGGAAGCCTTATCTGCATTGGTTCTACGGTTATGTCCACCAGACCTACTAGATAGCTCATACAAGCAGTATTCCTAACCCCCATCCCAGCTTTTACTTATTTTCAGCCCATGAACGTGCATGTGGGCAAGCGGTACTCTATCACCTGTCAGTATTGTCGAGGCATCAGTACACCCAGAAGAAAACTCACTATCCAAAGTCCAGTACCGGCGCACGACACCCTCCCACTCGCCGGCGCCAGCCTTTTCCAAACCCTTCATGTCGACGTCCATCTCGTCCCACTCGACGTCCAGACCGGCGTCGGCCATGTGCATCTCGACGACCTTGGTGTAGACGTCGTAGCATATCCTCCGGTCGGCGCCCAGACCGTTGAAGAAGCTGAAGCGCCCCTCGAAATCGAGCAGGCCGGGGATGTACTCCGTGAAGAATGTTTTCAGCTGGCCGTAGTCTTCGCCAAAGGTGTCAAAGTAGATTGCGTCGTAGACTTCGCCGGCCTCGAGGAGCTGGGGGACGATGTCTTGCCATCTGCCGCGGTGGATTTTGTAGGCTCCTGGTTGGGGGGCTGAGGATTCCCATGATGCGCCGAAGGTGGAGGGGATCGAGTCGTCTGGGTTTGCGGTGGCTTTGGTGGTGTTGTCGATTGCGGCGAGGACTTCGGGGTGGGCTTCGATGATGTGGTGGCGGGCGGGGGATGTGGAGCGGAACATGCTGTCGATTATGCCCATGCCGAAGCCGATATTGAGGATGCGTTTGCCTGATGTCGCAGAGGCATCGGCGTCAGAGGAGTCCTGTGGCGGTGGTGGGATGAGGGCGTCGACGCTCTTGCGCATGATTTCCGTCTCCCACGCCATCATGACGCCGTTGCCGGCCTCGTCGACGAGTTTGCCGGAGGAGTAGGTCAGGTTCGAGGCGAGGTACTCTTCCGAGTTGAGGGAAGGGTCCTGGACGGCGGGGGGTTGGAACGTTTTGGGTTCTTGCTGCTGTTCCTCTGAGACGGGTGCTGGTGCCTCGACGAGTTCTGGTGCTTCTTCCGCATCGTGTACGTCCTCAATGACAACGTCGTTGGCGTCTGCGGTCCCTTCGACGGCTGCCTCGACCTCATCCTCGTCCATCTCCGAGCCCCCCGAAGAAAGCGCCTCGTACCCGTCCAACAAGCCAAACAGCATCTCGGCGCGCACGCCGGCCTCGACGCAGAGGTTATAGAGGCCCTTTTGGCCGAGGCGGAGGGCGAGACAGCCCGGTGTCTCGTTGTTGTTGTCGACGTCGTTCCAGATTGCGCCGGAGAGGAAGAGCTCGTGGACTGTTTCCTTTGCTTCTTCTACCTGGAGGTCTTCGCCTGCTTCGCCGTCATCCCCGTTTTGGGCTTCATTTTCGGTGGAAGGGGGAGCAGGTCCGCAAGCTCGAATGGCGGCGTGGAGGGGCGTCTCGCCGGTCGTCGGGTCCTGGCAGCTCGCTTGGCCGGGCTCCTGGAGAAGTTTCTTGAGGGCGGAGGTGTCGTGGCTCCAGGCGTGGAGGAGGATTTCGCGGGTTGCGTCGGGGCAGTCTGTTGTGATGCGGGCTTGCATCGAGTCGTCGATCGGTGTCGCCATGGTTGTATGTATATGGTGGTTTGAAGGGGTAAGTCGAGGGATGTTGACTCTGAGTGTGGGGGAGCTTCGTTCGTCTGGGGAGAGAGAAAACCTCGATCGGAAGGAAGGGGTTCGGCGAAAGACACGGCTTTTGCTCCGGTCGGTGTGCCGGAGTTGGTAGGGGTGTCTAGGTCCGTGGTGCGGTGGGATCCTTCGATATCGGCCGGGTGTCTAGTCCGTAGAACTTTTTTTTTTTGCCGTGTCCGCGCCGGTGTGTATCCCCCGCCGACCCCGCCATCCGCCGAACGAGAAAAAAAAAGTCGTCCGGGTCGAGCCCTCCTGCGAGCTGCAGCAACAGCTGGGCCACCGTGTGACGTCTGCCGCACGTGCGCATCTGCTGCTCGCAATTGGCCAATTGACACCCCCGTGCCCCCCCCCCCTGCGGCAAGCTCTGGGTACCAGCGGAAACTGGAGCCAGACACCCACTGGGACCACCGGACTACCTGGAGCTAAGCCGGGTTGGAGCCGCGCTTTACTGGGTCAGGACCGCTAAAGGACTCGAAAGTTGCGAGGGAGATACGATGGCAGGAGAGGACGGATGCGCCAGCTCCCACGTTTTTCGTTTCTCGTTCTTTACATGCCTCGTGAGATAGAACGCTTGAATCCCGAAGTTGAGTCCTGCAGATACGAAAAGAAATCTAGAAATGAAGGGATTGAGTAAGAAAACATAAGGTAGTATAAGAAGCTGAAGGACAGTCAGGTACCCTAGAGCAGTGCAGGATTGGCCGTGCGGTGTCACTCAGTTAACGTGGTTGGCAACTGCAGCACATTGCAGGCAGTACCAAGGTAGCGGCCCCCCGTCTGAGGGCCCCCTGTCCGAAGCTTGTCTCGTAACCATCGGCCGCCGCCTCGCATTCCATCGCCTTTTGTTTTGCCTGCAACACCCGACCGCGCGACAGGCGAAAGCTTCCCAAATCCTCTCATACTTTTCTCCAATATCTGGAACATTTTCGCCCAAGTCGGTTACACGGCGCAAAAGCTGCATAAGGTGAGACCTCTATTCGAATAAATCTCCTCAATTCGACTCCACATCGTCAACAAGCAAGCCCCTTCAAGAATTCCATTACCCAAAAGGCAAACTAAATCTGGGCGTTTCTTCGACTAAGCCTCCTTTGCTTTTTTCTGCCTGGCTATGCCCATACCGATGATGCCATTTCTCTCGAGACCCGAATCCTCATGCTAATTGTCTACGATACAAAGACGCAGGAACGAACTTGGCGACCGAGTCTAGCACCCAGCGAATCTCCCTGGCGCGCCCCTCCCGGCATCGTCGTCATGAAGTTCGGCGAGCAGCTCCGCTCGAGCATCATCCGCGAGTACCAATGGTACTACATCGACTACGACGCCCTCAAGGCCGATCTCAAGACCGCCACGGGCCCCGTCACACCCGCCGACAATAGCAATGGCAAGGGCAAGGGCGGCAAGCGCGAGTGGTCCGAGGAGGATGAGGGCCGCTTCGTCAAGAAGCTCGAGGCCGAGCTCGATAAGGTCCATACGAAGCAGCAGGTCAAGGCCATGGAGATCTCGAGGCGCATTGCCGTGAGCGAGCGCGAGGTCAAGGGCGTCGTCAATCGTCTCGTCGAGCGCGGCCCCCGCGAGGAGGGCCCTAGTGAGGAAGAGTTCATGCTGCTCGAGGAGGACTTGAGCGACATTATTGCCGATGTCCACGATCTTGCCAAGTTTGTCCAGCTCAACTATACTGGTTTTTACAAGATTATCAAGAAGCATGACGTGAGGCATTCCTTGCGACATTGAACGTTCGGGCGGATCACTGACGAGGCATAGAAAACAACTGGCTGGCACCTCAAGCCCGTCTTCGACACCCGACTCAAGGCGAAACCATTTTACAAGGAAAACTATGACGCTTCCGTAGTTCAGCTTTCCAAGTTGTACGATCTGGTCAGGACGAGAGGAAACCCAGTCAAGGGTGACAGCGCAGCCGGCGGCTCTCAGGGAAGCTTCGTTCGCAATACGACAAAGTATTGGGTCCACCCAGACAACGTGACGGAGCTGAAGCTCATCATCTTGAAGCACTTGCCCGTACTTGTCTTTAATGCAAGCAAGGAGTTTGAGATCCAGGACTCGGCCATCACGTCCATCTACTACGACAACCCGGAGACTTGGGATCTGTACGAGGGCCGTCTGAAGAAGACGGAGGGTGCCGAGGCCATCCGCCTGAGATGGTACGGTGGGATGCAGAGCGAGAACATCTTTGTCGAGCGCAAGACTCATCGCGAGGACTGGACCGGGGAGAAATCCGTCAAGGCGCGATTCTCGGTCAAGGAGAAGAACGTCAACGCCTACATGCGCGGTGAGCTGCTCCCCGCCGCTCTCTTCGAAAAGGCGCGTAAGGAGGGCAAGAAGCCCGAGAAGGCGATTGCCGAGGACGAGAGACTCGCAAAGGAGGTCCAGTACTCGACTCTCAAGAAGGGATACAAGCCGGTGTGCAGATCCTTCTACAATCGTACCGCCTTCCAGCTTCCCGCTGATGCTCGAGTCCGTATCTCGCTCGACACGGAGTTGACCATGGTCCGCGAGGACAACCTAGATGGCCGTAAGAGGTCCGGTGACAACTGGAGACGTATGGACATTGGTATCGACTATCCCTTTTCGCAACTGCCCCCCGAAGACATTGTGCGCTTCCCTTACGCCGTTCTCGAGGTCAAGCTTCAGACGCAGCTCGGCCAAGAACCTCCGGAATGGGTTCGCCAGCTCATTTCCAGCCATCTTGTGGAGGCCGTGCCCAAGTTCTCAAAGTTCATCCACGGAGTCGCTTGCCTCTTCCCCGACCGCATCAACCTGCTTCCCTTCTGGATGCCGCAGATGGACGTGGATATCCGGAAGCCAGTTACGCACGACTTTGGAATCCACAGACCCAACCAGTCGGCAACTACCACTACATCAGATGATGACGAGGATGACGAGCTAGACTCTGATGACGAGGAGGGTCCCTTGGTAGCCAGCAACAATGGTGCCACCAACGGAGAGTCGAGTGGTCAAGGAGCTGCTAGGAACGGCGGGACCGCACTCGATGTCGAAGGCCAGACCGTCGATACCATTGCCCCCGTCGACAACGAAGACTTTTTGTACGACTCGGACGAGGAGTACGACGCCGACGAGGCCCTCGAGGAAGCCAGACGGGTCGGAGGCTGGACTTACTACAAGGCGCTTGCCTCCACAAAGGCACAAGCATTTGGCGAGCGCGCCATCGACGTGCTCAAGTGGACCGTGCCGCATCCCCGTGGCTCTGTGATCCCCAGGCGTGAAGTACAGACGACGCTCTTCGGC